TAATTCTTTGATCTTTCCACTTTACCTTTTAGAAGATGAAAGGAAATCTCTACCCTTGTAGACAGAGAGTGTGGCACAAGTATGGGGGTACAACAGTCATTTATTTTACTGTAACAATCCCCAGGTCGGCATAGGTTAAATGAAGGCTTGACTGCACTCTGGAAGACTGGCTCTTCCTCTGTCTCAGCCTTATTTAATTATACCTGGCCTTGAAGAAGCAATCCAAAATCATTATGGGTGACAGGGTTTTCTATCACTCCCTCCCTTCCCACTCCTCATCCTTTCTGATAATGGCCTGCTTTCTGTTCAAGCTTATGCACCTTTGTCCCTTCACTCAGGTTCTCTGTTTTTCCTCTATTCCCACTCTCATATTTGACCAAGCATCCAAGCCCTCTGCCAGTTAAGTGCTGCAGTGCCCCAGAACAACCCTTTCCAAATTCTTTCCCGCTAAGTCATCCAGCAAAATACTGAGAGCGCCTGTTACAATACCACTCCACCGTGAGTGCTAGCTAGTCTTTCTCCTGCTGCGGAGCAGTCTGTCTGAAAGTCTTCTCCAGTAAAATTCCTACTCCGAGAATGGAAAATTTCAGGCACAAACTTCCATAAAGTTACAGCAAAATGAAAACAGAGGAAATTAACAGAAACTGATGTAACTATTTTGGAAACCCTGACCCTCTTGCCAGAACATGCTTGTCACAAAAATGCTACTCCCAAGCAAATCAACATTGCCCCAAACAGTCTTCTGTCACAGCTCAGACTAATCTAAGAACATTAGCTGTTCTGGTTTTTTAGATGCCTTTGGGCTTTTATTTATCACATTATAGATATACAAAAACACTTGCAGAGATGAAGCTTTTTGTATTTGCTTTTAAGCCCAGAATTTAAAGTGGTTATAATCAATTTATGTTAGGAGAATCAGCATTAGAGGACAATATTGCTTACAGTCAGACATTGATTCTCTCCTCCCTCCTCCTTGTGTAAGTTAACTCAATCTTGTCTGTTCAGCCTATTGTAAGTTATTCTGACCAAAAACATATTGCATGCAAAGTCTGGCCTCAGTGAGAGAGGAAAGATTTAAAAGAAGCATTTGAAGATAACAAAATCTGTTTTCTCAATATAATGGTTAGTATTTATCAGAAAGAAAAATTTTAAATTAGTATGACTCCTTAGTACCTTTTTATCCAGGAAACAAACCACCTACTTTGCACACAGTTTGAGAATAATTGCATTCACAGTGCATTTTAACGTAGCAGAGTTCCCTTTAAGGTACAGTATGCTCCGCAGTTATGGAATCAGAATCCTGCCTTACGTTTAGCATTTAGGGGTGGTTATGCATTAACAGTTCTGGTGTCTCCCTTCTTTCATCTGTTCAGAAAGAACCCTCTTTCTGCCAGGCCTACACAGCCTCCCCTTCAGAGGACAGTTCACACCCTAGATCAGCTCAGACCTTGGAAAAAAATTTACAAGAACACACAAGAAAATCACTAGCCACTGTTTTTCCAAGTGCCCAAATGCATTTTCTGAATCATCTTAAGCAGCTCTCGAAGGCAACAACTTTAAAACCATTACCTGCAAGTATTGTGAAAACCATGAAAACCCCAAGGAACAAAACACACCTCAAGTGTCAAAATTTAGGCATGGGCCTACTTTTCTGTCCTCCCAGAACAGAGCAGTAAGTTTCTGATCTGCTAGCTCATGACACAGAACTTTCTTGGAAACCCATTTTTACTTTATTTGCAAATGGTTGCTTGGACAAGCACGGCAGTCCTTCCTGCATCATGTGCTGCTTGCTTGGAAAGAGCAAGTTTTCTACTGCTTACTCATTAAATAACAATCCCATAGGATTCTAAACAGGCTTCATGTCTTCAATTGAGTAAGTTTTCTGCTAGCCAAAATATACTATCACTTCAGTAAAATGACGACTGATTTAAACATTAGTATATTAGCTGTCAGACATATGAAGACAGGTCTATTTAAAGAGAGGCTCAAGTAGACTCATCAATGGCCACAGGTACATTACAGTGTACATCAACGGCCACAGGTTCATCACACTCAGGTGTTCTACATGTGCACTAGCATAAGAACAGGAGATAGCTAGCAGGAAAAATGGAAGAAGTTAACATCAACACCAGACGATTTCTTGGGGGACAGTAATTTTCCTTGCTTTTGTGTAACCTCTGGAGACAGCTGATACAATACAACTACTCCAGCATTACTACCATTAACACATTGCTGAAATAACCATCTCATTACACACAGTAATGAAACTATATTTTATTATAAGCAAAACCAGCTTTTATATCTCCAAGAAACCAGGACCTATACCCTTTTCAAAGAGCTACCCATGTAGAAACTGCTGTACTTAGAAATCAACTTTTACTTCCAATTAGAGAAGAAAGCTTGGAGTGTTACAAAGAGAAACAAAACCAAACCCAAAAGTAATCTGAAAAAATCAGACCTCACATTAATTACGTAAAATCTGCCATATCCTGGTCCTTCTAGACAACAGTAGTCACTAGCTCCAATTCACAGTATTCCAAAATAAAAGTGACTGCTAGTTCAAACTTTCTCAATGTTTTCTGCTTACCAGTTCCAGACATGCAGTTTGGCAAAGACAATCTACTAGTCCACACAGTGTGTTCTTCAGAACCATTTTAGCATTTCCTTCTTCCAAAAAAGAAAACAACACAAAGTCACCGAGTACATATACTGCCTCTTTGTGGGGGGAAAAAGAAAAAAATTGGGGTCTGACACGGTGAAAAAGCTACGTAGACAACTCATAGGCAACAGCAGAAGCATATCTGAGAAGTCTGGAGAAAGGCAGGAAACCATCTTCAGTATTCTGCATTGAAAGGGTAGTCCTTGTGAGTTTTGCCCCTGAAGGAAATCAAAGAGGAAAGATTATCTCATGTCTAAAACACACTATATGCAGCTATAACCACTGTAAAGAACCACCAAGGGAGGAACTGAACTGTATAAAAGCAGACTCAATTTGTTTGTCTTCCTTGGTGACATGCTGCATTTGTAAACAGAAAGATTCCCACGTGCCTTCTGTTGTTTGGGCTCTGACCATTTCAGGTGATGAGACCTAGGTGCTTTGTAGACACCTAATTCAAGGTTTCACTGTTTACTGCCAGGAAGACTTTTTAGCAGCCTTCCAACAAAGATTTCCTATCTGGCTTTAGGCTTCCAAGTTGCAAATCTTTATATTACTTTTTGAATGTTCACACACTTTCCCAACCACTCCTGAAGAACATACAGTCAGTTTTTATAATATACCTAAGGGTTATGGCAGAAAGATAAAATAAATTCCACAAGCAAAGATAATCAAGAATTTGAGCCTGCATCATGCTCATTTCTCCACTATGGACAAAATAATAATACAACTAAGAAGCCTCCTGTTGCAATTCCAGCTACAAAAAGTTTCTTGGAGACTGAACTGAAAATGAACATCAAGTTTGCTTTATGCTCATCATCATTTGGTTCATAACATGAACACTTCAAATCTTACTCTGAAAAGTTGTTTTGAGGATGACCCCTTTGGAAATTGAGTTTGCATATCCTGAATTTCAACCGAGTCTAGTATCTATAACTTCATATACTGAATTATGACATACTGATAACCTAACAGCTTGGGGGGGAAGGGAACAAAACAAAAAAACCCCAAACCCAAAACACTGCCACTTACGAGCTCATTGCACAGACTCTCCAGTTTCTATTGAAGCTGAGAATAGTTGTCATCTCCTCTTTAGTCAATTCAAAGTCAAACACCTAACAAGAGAAACAACTAGAAATCACCTCTCTGAACAAATCGGGGATTGTAAGCAGAATTCACAAAATTAAAGAACAAGTCCACAGTGTAAGGGTGCTTGTTAAAAAAACCAACTGCTTCATAAATGAAGGAAAGCAAAAAGACAGCGCTCTAGATTTTTGAGACTATGCTAGCTGGAGTTGGGGAAGGAAGGAATTAAAAAAAAAATCTACTTTCATTTACATGGGCCAGTTGTTTTAAGAAGCCTGGAGAGCACTTAGTGTTGCAGAATATCTCCATCCTCCATTTGTGAAAGATGCATCTTTCCTTCCTATTCCAAAGGAGCATCTACAAGACCTTCATATTTCACCTAATGCAACTGTTTTCCAAAATCCTAATACTAGTTTCAGTCAAGGACCACTGAATCAAGAGAAGCAACATGCTTAATGGACACCAGGACCACTTTCTTAACAGCGCTTGTTCTACATAAGCCTTTTGGTGGTGTGCTACAGCACTCAGGCCCCAAGCAAGCTCTGTCATCTGATTCACCCACATGACACAGAACAGGAAGCATCACATAATGTGACTGCTAAGATTACCAGCATACTGTTTCCAAAAGCTTTTTTCACTCCTGCTCTCCAGCTGTAACCTTAAGTTTAGCCCTCAGTAGACTATAAGTAAACATACAGAGAGAAAAAGCCCAGTTGTCTTGCCAGAGGACTTAGGAAGGGATCACTGCTTGCTCTGCAGGAAGAAGGCATCCCATCCCTGAACATGCATGTCATGTACCCAGGTCACTCCTAACAACTCACCTTGAAGTTCTCCACAATGCGCTGTGGTGTGACAGACTTGGGAATCACAATCACATTTCTCTGGATGTGGAACCGAATGAGAACCTGCAAGAGGCATATCAGAGAGTCAGAGAGGACAGCTTTTGTTTTATGGCAAGTGGAGCCTGTTCCAACAGTTGTTTGATGTAAACTGTACAATTCAGCAGAATTAACCTATTTCTGCAGAGCTGCATTTCAAGTCATACCTGAACTCTAAGCAGCGCTTTCTGAAGTGCAAGTACAAAAGTAGTGGAGCCCCACACAGAAGGCCTCCTTTCCCATTCAGTTTAGTGATACTCAGCCCCTATCTTTCCTACCTAGACTTTTAATAAGCTGTACAAGCAAGGGCTCACTTTTCTGCCACAGGACTTGAGAGAGGAAGACTGAAACATGACAGCATCTGAAGATGGGTCAAGAAAATGTTTCTTGCGGACAGACAAAGAGACCCTACAAGCATGCATTGAAGGCTATGCAGTAGACAAACCTGCGTTGCTATTGATCACAACAGAAGAACACCCCAGTTGACAGGGAATGAAGAGCCGGCCCTTTGCACTGACATGAGCTGTCCTTTATGCTGTGTTACAGGAAGGGATACCCACTGTCCAACACCTACGTACCTGTGCTGGTGTTTTGTTGTGCTTGGTTGCAATCTCTTTGATCTTGGGATCATCCAGAAGTGAAGGATCCTCTGGCTTAGCCCTACACAGACAAAAAGATCAGTGGCAAGAAACCTCCGTAGATCCATCCTAGCAGAAATCTGTATCTGGATGAATAATTAATGGTGCACTTGTAGTCTCAAAGTTTCAAGCATAATCCATGCCAGCTCCCTTGCAAAGCAATCTTACCATGGTCTGTCAGGAGAACCAAGCGGACTGTATGCTGTCACAGCAATCTCTTTGGATTGACAATACTTGATCAGCTTCTCCTGGGTAAGGTATGGATGACATTCGATCTGTCAACATAAGAGTACAAAGATTGACAGGGATTTACATGTTCCAGGGATTAGTTTTTAATCAAATCAAAGGCTGATTTTTGTTCTAACTTACAGTCTCTGTGCAATATTACATGACCTTTGTTGTCTCTATGTCCCCATCCCCTTTCTACTATTTGTAGTAGTTCTCCTTGCAATGAAGCATCCAAGGACTATTAACACCACTCCTTAAAACTTTCCTGATCCATATAATCTCCAACATGTAGGATCACCAGCTACATAATTGCTTAAATGGGACAGTTCATTAAAATGCATATAAACAAGAGAACTGTAAAATCATAACAATAGATAGCAGACCAGTAAGTATAAAGTTCTCTTTTAATCCCTAATTTTTTTTTTTTTTAACACAACTACCATATTAACTTCAATACCAGTATTGTTTGTTTTTATTTGCTTTGTGTCAGTACTGACACCGAATACCTCCAGTCTGCAAATAGCAAGAATGGCTAAATGTAACTTCTACAGATTTAGACCTTCAGCTTACTGTCTGCTACAGACTTTAGAAACACATGTGTGCTTACCATGAATTTCCATAAGAATATCTACATAACAGAATACAGACTCCTTAACAGTGGATCCATATTCTGGCAAGCTAATGCACAGATACACAGTATGGAAAAGGAATTATGCAAATGTCAGGAGGCAGTGAATGAACATGAATATTTGATACTTTGCATAGAGGGACTTTCAAGATAGTTCCACACCAGGGAGCACTACTTTCCTTTCAGCAGGCAACATCAAGAACCTTTTCGACTACACTGTCATGCGAGCCTTCTGCAGCCAGCTGCTGCATTCTGAGGGAAGTCCCTGGAAACTTGTGCTACTGGCAGGTGGAGCAAGAGAGTGCAAAACATGGGATCAGTTTACAGCTTTGAGTGCTTTATTTGTGGTTCTAGCTGCTTGCTGTTATCAGAAGCTTGCATGGCTGTTTCTTCTGGGGCATGTTGGAATATAAGACAACAGGACACACAACTCAATTTTTGGGACAGATTATACATATTTATTTTGCTTCAGCAGATCTAGAAAAAAGCTAATTACGAGTAACAGTGTATCTCATTATTTTCTCAACTATTCAATAGGTAGAATTTATGCAATATAAGCAAGGCAAAGTCATCCTTACGTGTCCACTGGCACTCAAGTTGAAAAACTTCTGAGCTACATTATCTACTCTTATGTTTGGACTGGGGTGAAAAGCCTATGATGTACATTTAAACAAGTATCTTAAGCTATTGCAATCCACACTGTGTGATAATGATCAAGTACTTAAAAGTCAGATTTCCTTACTGAACTACGTATAGTATCATTGTAATGTAATTACTACCTTGCCAAATTAATTTCTCACCACAAATGAAACCTATGTGCATACTGACTGCATTCAAATTAAGAATGGGAATGACACCAAATACAGGCGATTACACATGAAACGTGCACATAGAGAAAGTGTTTGCAGGAAGCACTCTCACTGTTAGGCCAAGTGGTAAGTGTTAGTAACAGACAAGCTTTCAGGCTTGCAAGCATTTCTTCAGAAACAGTATAAGTTTTGAAGGACAGAAACCAAGACCCATTGGTCTGAGCTTAACTTGATTACAGTCATCAGAGAGCTTGAGAACATTTGCAGGTGAGAGAGATACTAGGTCAGAGACCTCTGTGCAAGAGACACAGGTAATTATCAACTACAGCGATAGTGGCAATGAGGTGTGGCAAATGGTGAAAGGTATAAGACTAAGTATCCTAAAAGTACATTAGGACTGATAATGAAAATCCACAGTAGAGAATTCTGAATTTTGCACTTGTCAATGTTTCAGTTTTATGTTGAACAGACTTCCAAAGAACAATCCTACTAGCTTTCTGAAAAGGGTTACAATCCCTTTTCAGTATATATGCTGAAGCTACCACAATAAATTAACCAGTTCTTGTAATTAGGTGTCAATAACTAAGACTGCAGTCCTTCAAACGCTATAGCAATCAAGGACAAGTCTAGACAGACCCCACAGGAGTCTACCCTGGGACCTGTCCTCTTCAACAACTTGTGCCAGGCTATCTTGTCAAGTTTGCAGGTGATGCCAAATGGGGGGAGGACCAGTCAATACACTCAATGGCAGGGCTGCCACTTCAGAAGGACCCACTCAGGCAGGAAGAACAGGCCAGCAAAAACCTTATGAAACTCAACAAGGCTGCACACAAAGCCCTGCACCTGGGAAGGAAAAGCCCCTGGCAATAACACAGGCTGGAGCCTGACTGCCTGCAAAGCAACTCTGCTAGAAATGACCTGGGGGCCATAGTAGGCTGAGCTGAATATGAGCCCCAGCAGCAGGAACACAGTCAGTAAATTGTGGGAAGTCACTGTCTGCCTCTACTCAGCACTTGTCAGACCACCATTATAATACTGTGTCCAGTTCTCCCACTTCCCAGCCCCCTCAGTAGAAGAAAGATTGACAGACTGGCATGAATTCAGCAGAGGGCCACCAGGATGGCTGGGGGCTGGCAAACCTGCTGTATTGGGAAAGGCTGAGGGAGCTGGGCTTGTTCAGCTTGGAGAAGGGAAGGCTTCAGGTCTCCTAGTAGCACCTTTTCAATGCCTAAAAGAAGGTCATCCAAAGACAAGCCAAGTTCTTCAGTGGTGCATGGTGGGAGGACAAGAGACAACAGGCATAAGTTGAAACAAGAGAGGTTGAGACTAGATATAAGAAAACTCCCTCTCCCATACACCGAAGGCAGGGGGTCAGGCAGTGGAGCACACTGCCTGGAGAGGCTGTGCAGTAGTCTCCATCCTTGCAGGTTTTCAGGATGGATAAAGCCCTGGACAACCTGGTCTGATCTCACAGCTCATGCTGCTCTGAGCTGTGAATTCCAGCAGGTTATCTCCCAAGGTCTCAAGTCTTAAGATTTTATTCAATTGCTGTTTGTATACCTGGACACTTCTAGTCTATAGCCTACCTTGCAACTCCATTTCCCCCTTCCTCTCAACCCTCATTAAGTCTGAAACCACTTCATAAAGCATGTTCCTCTTCAGTTCCCTCAGACATCAGCCTCTCTGCGGCCTCTCCACAGAGGAGTTGCAAAAAGGTCATCCAATTCTGTTAGGTCCTCATATATACACACCAATTTTTACTCTACTTCAAGGTGGTTTTAAAGCTCATCTGAGGTGTCCCCCCCTCTCCAAAAAAGGGATTCTGGAGCTGCTCCTTGCTAGATTTCCAAGCAGTAGTGCAGAAAAGTCCATACAAAAACCAGCACCTTGTGCATCCAGAAGTAGTTAAAGGGTGGGATTCAGAGAATATGCTGCATCTGCTCCATTCTCTTTCTATAACCTTATTGTATAGTAAGATCTTAGTATTTCTTTAGGAAAAAACCAACACCCAAACATCTGCCTGCTGTCACTTTGCAGCTTACCTGGTTATTTGCAGGCTTGTATTTCAGTCCTGGCTTGTTCAAGATTCTTTCAATCTGCTCATGGTTAAAGTTGGAGATACCAATGGCTTTTACCAGACCAGCATCCACCAGCTCTTCCATGGCCTAACACAAAGGGGAGCAATGTCAGCACCCAGTACTCAAGACAGGGCCTGAAGAACACATTCTTCCTGACACGGCTTATTTCCTTCATAAGAAGCACAAAATAAGCATTTAGATTTTCAGAGTTCAAGTTGGGGGGGGCGGGGGGGAACCACACCAACACAGCACCAGTATATTTGTGCCATGTCTCCCATTTCACCAAAGCTCAAAGACTCATTCTTTGAGACTGTGGAAATTCACAGCAAGTTAGAAGTGGAAAATAACGACACCCAACAACCCACCATTGTACCACTGACTCCTTCCAAGTAGTTCTGCATACATAAGACAATTTAGACTGCTGAAGGTAACAAAAACATGGAAGAGACTGCTGAGGACAGAAGACACAATTCTCCTGGTGTGGCTAAACTTACCTCCCACGTATGTAGAATATCTGTGTTGCTGGGTATAGACATGCCTTTGTCATCTGTTGGAAACAGCTCCTCTCCTGCCTGTCAGCAAGAAAGAAAATGCTTGAAACACTCTTTGGTGGGAAGTTAGGTTAACACCAGCTGGAGACCATGATACCACAAACTCCTACTGCAGTACATACTGATTATCTATATTTAGATTATAGTAACATTTATTACCTACATTCTTCAGTCTTTTCCTTTGCTTTCACATGGGATTATGGCATTTTTGCCAGCAGCCATCCCAATAAGGACAGGTACTTCTACTGGACCTAATGTCCTCTGGTTCACCAATGTACATATAGGGAAAACATGACTCTCCACATGTAGAATTATAGCCAGTTTACAAGTTTACTTTCCATATTACAAAAATACACAGTTGTTATGTGGACATAATGGAATGTTTTATTAACATGTGTAATAAGGACCTGGAACATGTTCAGTCTATATTGGACCAGATCTGCTGACAGCTCTTTCACAGGGAGGCTCATTGTTTAAGTTGCTGGCATAGGGAATGTTAAAACAGCCTGTGTCCCAGTTAGGACTACATGCCAGGTATCAAAATCAGTTGTCTTCTACTGATACATACATTCTTACACCACAACACATTTTCACTTTGCTAGTTCTTTCTGTATGAAACTAATTTTAAAAACACAGATGCCATGAAAAGCAATTGATCTCAGAAGCAACAAGTAGAATGAAGATTTTGATCAGGCTCTAACAGAAAGACTAAGCTTAGAAATATTCAAACTGAAACATCAGTTCCTTTGCATGCAGTCAGTAAAAGAGTTAGGAACTAAAAAGCTTCACCTTTTGAAATCCCAGGTCTGTGGAACACTAAGGCTCCTACAGCAAAGGTCAGTTCAATCTGTACTGTATTAAAGGGCTCAGTGATTAAAGACAGAAATGGAAGACAGAAACATTCTCTTGTTCTGTGATTCTGTAACATGCAGAGGAAAGAATTGCTGTCAGGCAGCAAAGTACAGCCCTTCTTCCCGCAAAGAGGGCACCATATCATTGCCAGTTGAACGTACTTTGGATTTGTAGAAGACAACACATAAGCAATAATCAAGAGGAGAGCAGTATAACTTATGCTTGCAGCAGGGAAACCCGCCCCTAGTTCAAAGTCTACCTCCACCATGATCAAAAGGACAGAGGATACTGTGCAAGCAGGAATCTTGGAGGTATGGATCAACAGCCTGGCTCACATGGGCAGAGTAAAGCTGAGCACCAGAGCAGTGCTGGTATACAACAGACACATGATGATCTGTGTCCATTGGAACAATTACTGGGCTGTAAAGCCATATAGCTCTTCAAAACTGCCAGTCGCAACAGACAAAGCCAAAGGCACTGCTGTTACTGTACCTTAAAACCAAGAGGCCAGTGGATGAGGTAAAGATCCAGGTAATCCAGTTTCAGGGCAGCAAGACTCTTCTGGCACGCTCCCTTCACCAGAGGCTTGTCATGAAATGTACACCATAGCTAGAGACAAAAAGCCAAGGCACCCCGTGACTTCCTAGGTTAAACTGCTTGGAACCCTTCTGTCCTATTTAGGAGAGTGCCTGTCCCCTTTGGAAGGTGATGTGGATCTAGGTCATCCCACTCATCTTCAAACAGTGCTTGCTCTGTGAGCAAGGCTGGCCCATGATACTGAGAGCAGTATATGCAGTGGCAGTACACATGACTGAATGGTGCCATGGCAGACAGCAGAAGTAGCCTGGTTCCATTAATTAAGACTTCGTTTAAAAGCCACTTACTAGAAGGCCAGATACTGCATGAAAGAGGACAGTTAACTTCATGCCAGGAAAAGTTCAAAGCATTGCTCATGTCAGTGGTACATAACCTGCATAATTCTCCATACAGGATGAGGTAAAGTAGGAAGCTTGTCTCAGGAGTGGCCTAAATGACATTCTGAACTGTTCCATGCCGTGCCACAGAGCAGGAAAGTAAAGAACTGGGGGTGTTACTACAAAAAACCAGGTGTCTCCTGGCATCCTATGCCACCAGATCCATACCTTACTGACAATGAAGAGGTCCTCTCGTTTCACAACACCTTCCTTGATTTTTTGCTGGATCCCATCCCCAACTTCATTTTCATTTTGGTACACATAGGCACAATCAAAGTGACGGTACCCAGCATCAATAGCAGCCATCACTGCAGCTGTTACTTTCCCTGGTGGGGACTGAAAAAATAATATCCAAGAAACTCTAATCAACATGTATTGAAAACCTTTTTCCCCCTAGGAAGACAAAACTAAGAAAGCCACCCCACCCAAA